GAAGTCCGATGACGCAGGAGCAGCGGGCGGTTTGTCATTGCATCTCCTGTTCCTGTGTTTGGCCACAATCACCTGGGCCGGATGCCTCAACATTTAACCATCGGGGTGCTTGAAACACGCTTGTGCACTGACCCGTTAAAATGCGGCCCCAGGCAGAGCGTGGGGGACATGCTGGGGAGGGCGATTTTGACGGGGGAAGCGGGGAACAGGGCCAGAAGGCAGCGAGGGCACGGGATCGTACCGGCACGCAGAAGGATGACCTGGTCGTCCAGCGAGAGTTCAGAGAAGTGTGGAATGCGTTTGGCCCACTCCACCAGGGTGAAGAGCTGCTTGTCGGCGGCCTGGCAGATGTTGGTGACGGGGTCGTTGGGCTACAGGCAAAGTGGGCAGCGTTAAGTCAGCTGGACCGGATATCGCATTAAGCCGAACCGGCAGAAAACAGAAGTCCCATCGTGAGCCTCAATACGGGCTGCCTGACTAAGCCAGGAGATGCACTGAACTAAGATGTGTCACCATTTCCTTTCACATGGTCCCATGGATTAACATCACATCCACGCTGACTGGGGGGGGGGGGGCACCCACCGAGCTCCCCCCTGAGCTCCCATCCGCGTGCATCTCAGTCTTCTGCTCCACCGCCATCTCAGCCTCCAGGATCTTCTCCACCGGCATCTCCTCGTTGACAGCACTGGTCGACTCCACCTCACCGTCCCTCTCCTTGTTTCTTTGCCGCTCCTCCTGCACAGCTGTGCGTTCGTGGTGGGGGGTGATCGAGATATAACGGGGGGCGCGAAGGCGCCGAGCACAGGGGACAGAACAAGACGAGAGAGAGAAAAAGAGACAGAAAAGAGAAGAAGAGAGAAACACATATATACATTTCCTAGTTAGTTTAAGCGGCTTGCATGCACATTCACGCCTGCATCCAAGCCCCGTGTAACATGGACCGAGCGAGAGGAGCTCGACAGAAGACTTCCTACATGTAGGATCCACAGAGAACCAGATACAGAAGGGTGTCTTACAAAATCACACTGACAGAGCGGTGATGCGATTCACACCACTCACAGCATAGCCAATACACTCCCCACCTTTTTATAAAACTCACTTTCAGCCACGAAATTCAAAATACCTGCCAGTCAATCAGGAAACAAACCAAAGATATGCCAGGATCCTGCTGTCTTCCTCTATAGCGTTTGTTTGCATTAATATTGTGAAGAATTAAAAGGTCCAAACCCTCCATGTCAAACTGAAATTCTACCCCTAAATAATCTAAGTAGAGATGCAATGTTATGCATGTGTTGGAAAAGGCTTGGGGGGGGGGGAAATGGACTAACAGCAGAATTTAAAAAGCAGTCTAATGTTCATTTCTGAGCACTGAATCGCAAATTTAAGTACACCACTTAGCACAAGCACAATTCAGCCCTGAAAGGCGAAGGCATTCATTCCAACACTCCCTCAAACCCTGACATTTACGCACATACATGCGCACACACACACACACACACACACACACACACACACACACCCGCTCACGCACACACAACCCGCTCCCTTTTTCTTACATCGCTGTCGTTCATCTTGGACCACTACAGGAGGGAGGAGAGAGAGAGAACGAGAGGAAACAAAGAGGGAGAGAGGGAGGACAGGGATTAGTTTCTACGAATCTCCCCCTCTCCGACTTTTTTCCACGCTCATTCCTTCCCCCAAAACACTTACATTAACATTACAGATTTTACAGTTCAGTTGCCCAAAGTTACATTGAAGCGACATGTGACTCATCCCACTGCGGTCAGCAGCCCCGGTTCAGCATTACACCCCTCCAGAGACCCTCGAGGTCACCGGTACAAACTGCTCACTCTCTCCTACCCGCTGGCCCTGCCTGAATGTGGCTGAAACACACTCCAGCTGAACCGCCACCCTGCAGACCTGCATCATAACTAATGCCGGGTCATCACTGCATTCAAGAATTTCCCCCTGGGATCGATATAGTTTCTTAATCATTAAAGTCTGACACAGGGCTCCATCAACGGCGCTATCCCACTGCCAGCATCTCTGCATGGCGCTTGTGTGCCCTTACTCTCCTGTGCGACATCGGTCAATAAACACGTGCTGAACTAAACCCAGTGGAGCAGCACAGGCTGGGCTCGCTGGCCATTATGGCCGACTGAGCCCTCGCCCCTGCTGTCCCAGCCCTGCAGTGATGAGCGGCTCGTCCTGCCCCCTCCTCACCACACCCTCCTGGGCTCAGACTGCCTGAAAATCTCCTTCCTCTCTGCTGTGTTAACTGAAGGAACCTCTGCACCTGGTCAGTTAAAAGGAACTAAACTAGCCTGGAGCACCATGCGATCATGTCCACCATACTCAAAGCGTTGCCCTTAATTCTAATCAGAAACACGTATGACCCCCCCCCCCAAAAGAACCTCACACCTAAGGAATATCCACCCAAGTCAGGTCGATCACACTTTCTAATGGAGATAAATTGGCCTAAAACGGCACACCCCCACAACCCCAACCCCCTGCAAAGCCCGTGCCCCTAGCCCCGCCCCCCTAGCCCCACCCCAGCCTTACCCTCCCTCTTCATGCCCATGGCCAGGCACTTCTGGTAGCGGCAGTACTGGCATCGGTTACGTTGCCGCTTGTCCACCAGACAGTCCTTGTTGTCCCGGCAGGTGTAGCTCAGGTCCTTGCGCACGGTGCGCTTGAAGAAGCCCTTACAGCCCTCACAGCTATAGACACCGTAGTGCTTCCCTGCGGGGGGGGGGGGTTGCAGAAACGGCATTTACAGCAGGGCCAGCAAAAGCACGTGCAGAGCTTAAGCAATGCCTGCTCCTCATAATCACAGAACTCTCCCCCCCCCTTTCCCATATGAAACCCCCCCATGCTCACCAGAGGAGCGGTCCCCACAAATGGCACACAGGCGCTTCTGGGACAGCACGGGCCCAGGGCTGTGGGACGACATGGGCTTCAGGCCGAACGGTGGTTTGACGTCGTCCGAGCTGCTGACCGCGTGCAGCCCCGACATGGACACCGTGGAGTTTATCTGAGATCCAAGAAAACGGGTCAGACAGAGAAAACGGGGACAACGGATGGTGTGTGTGTGGGGGAGAGGGACACAACCTGCGTTGTAGATAAATAGTGTGTCAATCTGGCCAATCTGGAAAACCCAACTGATCTGTTAGTCTGACATTCAATGTTTTGCACAGAGCGAATTAACCAGAGCATGAAACCATGTAGGTGGGAAACAGACTCAGCTCTAAAGTGAGAAATATACTAATCTACAAAGTCAGGAGTGGGATGAGGGTCGAGGATTTCCAGAGAATCACGCGGACTTTCCCCGACACATCTGCTCATAAAAGCAACACAATCTAGATTACCATCTGCACGAAAGACTCAATCTGAAGCTTGTGGCTCAATCACATTAAAATTTCAACACCAACAGTCACTGTAACTGCATGACGGACATCCAGGTCTAGATGGAAGCGCTGGAGAATTGTTTTATTTGTTTGTTAATGTATAGGCTGTTCTCCTATGCAGACATGATGCCAAATTCTCCCAACTTGTCTTCCAGGCTGCACAATTCCAAATATGACCTGAACAGCAAATGCAACTGTTATGGCATGGAGAACACACACCCATGCCAGGGCACCGCGGGGGGGCCCGGCCCTCACCTGAGGGCTGCTGATGGGGCCGTAACCCACCGAGGGTGTGCCGGGGATGCAGGGCGAGCCCAGCGAGGAGCTGATGACGGAGAAGGGCGAGCCCATGCTGCTGATGGGACTGTTGACAGCCGAGGTGATGGGCGGCAGTGAAGTCATGGGTGCCAGGGGCGGCGAGCGCTGAGCCGACGGGGGAGAAGAGACAGAGGAGCTATCCGGGCTGCGAGAATCTGGGGGGGGGGCAGGAAGGAAACAGAATGGTCAACTGGCAGATTCAGGGTATTCCAATTAATGTGCATCACATTCAGGCTCAGAAAACATTTTCATGTGGTTTTATTGTAGGATAAGCTGGCCTTCCTACCTAAAAGGAGTCAAGAAATAAATTTCATATGTGCTTTGTATGAATGGCTTAAGTCTTCAATTGCAGAAACAAAGGAACAGACACTTAGCATTCCATTAGATTAAATACCAATACCGGGGGGAAAATAAATAAATAAAAACCACGAATTAAGCTGGAATGGGTTCATGAAATCACTTTTGTATAATTATGAATACCTTTGTTCTCAACTAAAAATACATTTTAAAAGGCATAAATAATGCATTGTAACAATACTACCTCATATCTAGAAACTGAACCAGGAACTTAAAAAAAAACAAATAAATCTACGGAGATTTTACATTTAGATAAATGTAGGGCTTTGCGCTCTACCTGTCGAGACACTTCGATGTTTTGTCACGGAAGAAAAATAGGTGGCTTCCTATATTGAACAACCTCCTAATCACTCTGTTAGGGATGATTTCATTTGAAATATACAGGACATTGCAAGAACGCTTCTCTTACAAATATATATATATATATATATATATATATATATATATATAAATAAATTAAAAATTAAAAAAGGAAATTTGAAAGCAGGAACGTGACCCGGCGGGCTGGGACCCGGACAGGAGTTCAGGTTCACAGCACAGATGGCCCCAAGGTGCCACTGGCGAACCGCAAGCGTTCGCCCGTACGCGGCCAAAAGCAGCAGCCTGTCCAGCAGCCAAATATTAAGTTATGGAGACGCTTTAAAGGCGGACACCGTCGCACCGGACTAGATCCAAAAAAAATTAAGATGGCTGAGTGAGCATTTACAGTATGTCCCTTTTTCAATTCAATTTACACCACAGCGGTACGTTGCCGTGTTTTAAACTGCACTGATCTACTATGCAAAGTGATTAAATTTCATTAATAGTTGGGTCAGCTTGCAAATAAGGACTATATATGGTAAAAAGAAATGGCTTGGAGAATGCAGATAGAGATCACTGCGCATTACAGCAAAAGGTAAAAAAAAAAAAAAACAGGACCACGCAACAAAAAACAACATGGCAAACAGTTGAGAAGTTTCCTAAATATCCCCCTTTTCCACAACTGAATTTGATCGTAAGTTTCCCATTGTATGGCAGACGATGAGTTTTAGGAAACATTTAACAGGCACCGATGACACCAAACTAATCTTACCTCTGCTGTCGCCCATGGCGAGCCGAGGCTGAAAGGAATCGAGGCGCCGCGAGACGCACCGAGCCTCCGGTCGGGGCTAAAACTCGAGACCGTGGACTCAGGCCCGGCCCTGGGAGCGTTCAGCTCGGCCGAAAATATCAACCCGGGGCTCGCAGCGTGGAAAACGCGGGTGATCCGAAATACAGGAGCCGAGCGAGTATGAGCACCCGGGTATCGACACGTACCGAAACAGCGCTTTCAAGTTTTGCGGTCTGCGTGTTGTATCAGCTACTGGATCTCATGTCGGAGCCCATGGCAAACAGGTTTGTTATTCGGGTTACGCCGCTTAACAGAGCCAAAAATTATACTTCTGCGCGAATCAAACCTTTAATAAGTTGACCGATCTTGCATGAAAGATTCGGACGGAACGACCTGCAAGCAAACCAACGAAGTCCGCTTTTAAAATCAGATGCAATGAAAATTCCTGTAGCTGGCTCCTAAAAAGAGCTGTCCTTAAAATTAAACGTCCGTCCGCTAGCCGCTGAAACGGTAACTTGGCGGTTCGAAATCCGACGTGGTTCGTCTCCGGGAAGTATTCGGCCGAGGCCGCCGCGCTAGTTTCGCTAACGTTATCGTCTAGACGATGGAAATCTGGGCATGAAAACCACGAAAAACGAGAAGCTGGGCCTGCACTCGCTTCCTTTCCCACCCCCCTCCTTCACCCACACTTGTCTCGTCGTCAACCCTCCCCCTTCTGGAGTGGAAACTGAACTCGATACACAGTCGGAACGGGGGGAATGGGCGCCATTTCGGATCCTGGCGTGTAGCTGCAGCTTGCCGAGTTTTTGAGCCAAAATGACTGGGCTAAAAGCGACGCGAACATCGAAGGGTTTGCCATCAATAAATAAAATAGCGAATTTCCTAAATAATTTAATTATTCTATACGGATATTACAGTCATACTTTAAGTAACTTGATCTTACACGACAATAAGTAAGGACGTGTCTACTTTAGTAAATTCCGATTGTCGGCCAACTGGCATGCTATTTCCGTCGTCTACCTACAGGGGGAGCCTTTCCTCTTATCTGCAGAAACTAGTTGTCTATAGGAATGCGGACGTAAGATTTAATGATCAAAAGGTTCATTTGCATTCTTGTTTATTCTCATGTATGTGATATCCTGTGTTACGCTACTCATATACCATTAAAATGTTAATCGTGTATTTGTATTTTATATTTCATTTGGTTTATGATCTTATTTAAAGTACTTAATCCGACCTTAATGTAAGAGTTTCTAGCTGTTACATTGTAGGAAACCTTAGAAATTAGACATAGGGCTGAGTTTACAAATAGAATATACTGCATGCTAAAACTTATACAAAATAATATCTCCAAAGAAGTGTACAACATATCGCAGTATACTTTGGAGACCATGTTTGTACTGGTCTCCAGGAGTATAGGGAATGCGAGATGGACAGTCTTGACATTTAAGTCCACCTGCTGAGAGAGAAAAAGATTCCCCAAGGATTTAATCACCAGGCTGTGAATGCCTTTGCCGACTCCGAGACAGCGTAAGCCGTAGCAGATTCTTAATGTGATACAAAACCGTGTATGTGAAGGAGATGTTTATACGAATCCCCGTTCTTTCTTTCCATTTCATAGAAAATCTCGTTCACTTTATGCACATCTTGAAATACTAGGTTTACCAGAACAAGTATCCTTTTGATCATTATCGGTATTACATCACCTCGTATGGTCTATTGCATAGAAACTCAAAATCTCGTGTTACTTTGAACCGATATGGATAAAGTATATACGTTACACTTACGATTAAAACGAGGTAGATGAGGTTCCGCTGGTTTAGTATCTGTTCACTAAGGTTTTTCTGTAATTAGAGAGTTAAAAACCTGCCAAACCTGGTGATTTTTTAAAACACGCCTCAAATTCTGGAAATTGTTCTTGCAAATTAACATTCGAAAAAAGTTTCATAAATGATATGAATATTCATATGTAATCAATCTGTAACACGAAGGCAGTGAGCCTATTGAGTTTACTTCAATAATTCATTAATGGATCCAAAGGCTCTTTTGGATATAACCTAATAAAGTCTAATTTAATTTAATTGTTCCATATGGTGGTTACTGATGGGAATTTAACAAAATGCTCCTTTATGTAGTGATCACTAATACAGAATACGACAGAATTCCACAATCTTTTTAGTTCAATTATTCTTTTTTTTCAACTTCAAAGTTGACTGGCTTGCCTAACTTGAGGATAGAGGTCTGATATCACTCACACATAGCTGACTCACAGAAATATGAGATTGACAGTGGGCATTGTGGCTACATATTATAAAACACCTAGTGTCTTCTTGCTAATTTTCACTGCACTACTAGTTTTGAACTGGTGTTCTGGCAGAAATGAGTTTGTTAAATGTATAAACTTGATACTGAATATTCAATACAGTGATCTAAAGTTTCCAGCTTGTGGTTAATCCAAATCACCTGTACAAAACTTAACTCCAATCCACAGGCTATGCCTCATTTGCCCAAATGGCAAACTGTTACACCATGGAACAAAGTTCTAAGACAGTAATGGGACTCTACCACCCCCCTCCCCACCCTACACACACACACACTTTTATATTTTTAATAGTTTTTATTTTCTAGCACAAAATCAATGCGAAACAAAGCACCTCATTCGCTTCCCAAGCTCATTCTTATCTCCCTCCCATCCATTTAATACACTGACCATCAAAAACTAAATTGTGGTTGCTGTCTCATACACACACACACACACACACACACACACGTCACATGGGTAAGGGTGGATGGATTTACAGTCGATAACTTCAGCATCGATTGTCTGACCGACCATTTGAGCTTGCCCGGGTGAGCTAATAAAACAAATGAACTTGGTGGACCACCGATGGTACATTTCCTAGTGGTTTATTTCAGTTCTTGGTTAAGTGCAGTGGGAGTTTGTATCGCGCCATGAGCATCAATTTTGCACTCTCCACAAGATTGAAAAGAAAGAAAGAAAGAAAAAAAACGTAAATTCTGGTCACATTGAAAACATAGAAAGTGTTGCACACATTCTGCGTGAACATTAGAAAATCAAAAAAAGAATTAAAACACTGAGCAAAATAGGTAAGACAAAAAAATCAAACATCTCTACATGTCAGTGTCATATAATCAGGCGTTTGGCCTGCTGAAGCCGCGGGTCACGATGTAGCGATACATGATTACAGAAGACAATTAGACAATAATCAGTCCAGTTTTTTTGAAGCTGTGAGACACTAAAGACCATCACCAAACGGTAGGGTGTCGAAGCCAACTGTACTAAAATGATAAACTGTATAAAAGAAATAACATGCTGCCAGATTCAGGCATTCTCAACTTACACTAGAAAGAAGTCTATTCTATACATCTTTTTTTAAAACAATTCAATAATCTAGCAAAAATATCCACTGCTTGGTTTGACTGATGCTTTAAATGACCTAATGTCAGCAAACAGGCTTGGTTAAAGGCCTAACCTGGAAATATATAACCCTGCCCTTTGCACACAGGCAAAAATAGTAAATCCTTTGTAATATTTTTGGTCACTCACTCTACATGGTATTCAGATGGCCGGATTAGGAACTACAATTCCCATCTACCCCTGCCACCTCTGGCTCAGCATGAGGACCCCTAATGCTGCCACAGTGACTGTCACTTGTGCCAAAACACTTGGTAGAATGAAAACTACCCATTTCAAGTTTGCGCACACCTCAATCCTGCAATATATCCCTGGATCTCAGCATCGGCCATTTTGTGAACCGAGTCCACCATGTTCCCAGTTTCCTTTGGTCGCATTTATGGACCTCTGGTCAGTCTCTATATATGGAATCCCCCACCTACCTACATACATAGGTGTCATTAATCCCACAGACCCCTCCCTCTCAGCTCACTCTCTCTCTCTCTCACCCACCCCCCCTTCCTTCCTCACCCCCCACTCTTCCGTCTCTCCCTCTCACTCATACTCTGCAATCAGGACCATCATGCCCACTCCAAGCAGCATAGCCAGGACCTCCAGCACCGACTGACCCAGGGAGGATCGCCCCGCCAGCAGCTCAGGCAGCACCGTCACCGTGGCGATGTACACAAAGCCCCCTGCCGTGAAGGGCAGGATCCAGGCTGTAGCGGCGGCCCCCACACCTTCGGCAAACAGGGAGCAGGCGGTGCCCGCCAGAGCACCCAGGGCTGTCAGGAGCTGCAAACACATGGCCTGGAGGGGGAGGGGCAATCAGGAACCATGGCAACCGTGCAACAGGCTGACCATCAGCAGGATATTGCAAAACTTCAATTATTTCACATCCATCATTAAATTTTTCTTGTGGACTCTAGTCATAAGAAAGGACAGAGAAATCCTACTTTGGTGACAACTTATGTCATAGACCATAACGTCACCAACCACAGGTGTCAAAGTGACAGCAAGTTGTTTAGAATAGAATAATTATACTTCATTAATCCCCATGGGGAAATTCTCTTTTCGACTGCCCTATCTTGCTCTCCATAGCTTGGGGGTCACAGCGCAGGGTCAGCCAGCATGCAGCGCCCCTGGAGCTGGTGGTTAAGGGACCCTGGAGCTGGTGGTTAAGGGCCTCACTCAAGAGCCCGTAGACATGTGACTATTCTGTTGAGGCTTGAACCAGCGACTTTCCAAACACAGGCAGAGAGGCTTAGCCCGCTGAGCCGCACTCCGCCCCAAGAAAACGCAAAGTGCAAACTCTAAATGGGATTAGCTTTTGCCCTCAGTATGTCTAGCCGATGACCACGTACCTTCCTCTTGGTGCACCCTGACTGGACCAGGATGGCGAAGTCGCCGATCTCATGGGGCACCTCATGCAGCAGGATGGTGAGGGTGGTGACTGCTCCCACCCCAGAGCTCACCAGGAACGAGGCGCCGATGGCCAGACCATCCGTGAAGTTGTGCGTGAAATCGGCCGCCAGGTTAAGGTAGCCCGACACTTTGATGTCTGAAGACACAAGGACAGTGAGAGTCACAGCCCAAAAAGAGTTTTATTTGGCAGTGAAGTTGATAAAGGAAAATCATTCACAAATAAAAGCAAATACTGTCGTAATGACCTTATTTTGGCAAACAAAATTATAGTTTCATAAACCTGAAAATACATAATCCTGCCCTTCTGACCCATAGTAAAAGTAAATCATTGCCAGTGTTTTTTCAGGTCATTGTATTTATATAAACTGACTAAAGACCAGAGGTGGAAAGTTCATGTCCTGAAAGTAAAAAAATCCAGACCAAGATTTAATTTCAACCAATCAGTTGAGGACTCTGTGAATGTGACTCTTTATACTCAACTGGTTGGTTGAAACAAAATCTTGGTCTGGATTTTTTTTACTTTCAAGACTAACTGTCCACCTCTGCCAAGGACTACAATTCCCATTTTTCCTGGCCCTCTCTATTCTGCAGAGCCAATGTAAAAAAGGAGCCAACCACATAAAAAAAAAAACTGGCAAAAAAATTAGCACACAGAAAAATTACTACAGAAGTGTAACCCAAAGGTGTGGAGTCGAGCTGCATGTGGTCTGTCAGCTGACTTACCACTACTCTTCTCCTTCTCTTTCTTTTCAGCCCCTGTTTTTTTGCCTTTTTTCACTCCATCTTTCTCACCCTCCTTCTCTTTTTCTTCCTCCCCATCACTACATTTGGCTTTTGGAGCAGCTGGCATTAAAGAAACAAAGAGCACGATTGTTGCAATGACATTTACTGTCTAATGAGTCATTGATTGGGAGTTGCTCAAAAGCTGTGTCACATGGAGTCGTCAGCATCCAATAGCTGTGCAAAAGACATCTAACCAGCAGCTTCCTAGCCAATCAGTTTCGTAGTTTCATCTGGAGCTGTAACCATATCAACGTAATTTACAACTTGTTCGAAAGCATCTTTGAAGATGAACATGACAGAAATGTGATATTTCTACCAATGTATTCACTGCCTATTTCTGACAGCAGTCAAACTTTAGAGAACTTTAAACCTTAAAATGAAATGTGGAGAACTTCAGCTGAAGACCACATCTTGCAGGAGATTTACTACCATGGGAGTGTCCATGTCCGTGTCCATCCTTCAGAAGACGCACAAATTTCTCAACCACTAGGAAGGCTATGATCCCACCCAGGACCCACAGCCCCACGGACATCATGTGACCGTGAGCGCCACCTGAGTGTGAAACATGGTACTGCATCAGTGAGATCACAGGGGGAGACAAGATCCTGCAAGAGGGATTTTTGAAACATGCCATGAGCATCACTGTTCACATCATCCAGTTCTGCTGATAACTAACATCATGTTTCAGGCAGACAGCATTTCACATCATAAACATCTGAAGATGACAATTACAGTATATAACTGAAAATTAGTTAACTGTACTAGATATAAAACAGAAGGGACATAAAACCATAAACAAGTATCACCCTGCTACAGGTGTCGTATTTTACACAAGCCATTCATATACAGCACAGTAATCAGAAGGGGAAAAAAAGAGAAGCTTACCATGTGAGTGACCATGATCATGTGACTCTGCCGGGGTGTGTGAGTGGCTGTGCTCCTCGCTTCCATGGTGAGAGTGAGGCTCTGGCGGGGTACATGGCAAAATGCAAAGAGCTCAAGTCTATGGGGATAATACATAGCACTATGCAGAACAAACCACTACAAAGCAATTCTGATTAAACTTAAGATGTCTGAATTGCAATTGAATGTTATGTTGTACAGAACACTCAAGCATGACATGTTGTGGAATTCACAGTGGCTATGTGCATTGTTAGGAATAGCCACTAGATGGAGACTCCACCACAGATTTCATCCAAGTACTTCACTGCTAATAATGTGCTTAAAGGCCCCTATATACCAAAATGATTATGAGTATAAAATAAAAATGATCTTGCTGATTATCAGCAGGTTAACCATGACTCATGTCATTTTATAATGGTTAAGGGCAGGTTTGGCATTAAGCTGGCTGGTCCAGACCCAGCAACTACAGGCAACTTCAAATTTGGCAGCTGAATTAATCACCCAAAGATCAAACCACCACACCAGAAACATCAGCCACACCAAAATTCATTCCTACTTGTTAAAGCCACCATTCATAAAAATCGTCGCTCATATGCAAAGTCGTGAGGCCAGGCTTCCCATAGCTCACGTTCAGCAAAATAAGCAACAGCAAAATATTGAAAATAAACACGTTACTGAAGATCACTGTTACATTACAGTTACACTGACTCACAGCGTCCCTGCACTGCGTGACGTTGGACATACTAACCGAGAGCATGTGGAATAAGGTGTAGGAACGCGTCTCCGAGCAGACCCCCGGACGCAAAGCTCAGCAGAACCTTCAGGAGATTCTGGTGCTGGTCGGTGTTGGACTGGACTGGGATGAAGAACAGGATGAGGAAGGGGGCGGCACTGATCAGCACGGTGGCGCCAATTGCCTAGTCAGGCCGGAGCAGAGGGAGAGAGAGAGAATAAGATTTTTACAAATGTTCAGGAATCCCACTCTTCTTCGATTTTTCAAATTTTTTTGGCAAAAACATTTAAAAGCATATGCATTTAAAAGAAAATTACATCACTATCAATATATATAAAAAAAAATGCATATGTAAAATGACACAAAATTAGGATGCAGTGATTGCATTTTCCTTGGCTGATCCCGATTGCCTTTTTTTTCCCCCCCCCACGTTTGACCTGCTGATACAGATCCTGGCCAATTCTGATTTTCTCAGTTTAATATAATTAGCAAACTAAACATTTTTTAACAGTTCTTTAGTCACCTTAGCTTTCTGTAAGCAAAATATTTTCAAACACCTTTTCAAACGAAAATGACTCTGCAAGTGTTGAATTAAATTGGCTGTTCCAAATGTTTATAGGGCAGCTCCTCCATGGACATCAGTTTTGGGAATGGTCTAGAAGACCCCAGGTACCTGCATCCACAGCTCGACCATGCTTCTCTTCTCTCCTGCTACATCTCGCCTAGGGCGCTCTGCACCATGGGAATGGGAGTGGTCATGAGAGTGGGTGTGGCCATGGGCTTCACTGTGGGCGTGGCCATGGTCCTCTTCATCCTTGATGTTGTGAGAGTGATAGTGGGGCTCCTCACTGCCATGGTCATGTCCATGGGAGTGCGAGTGCTCATGCAAATCTTCCGGCGGAGGGAGATTAGCTTCGGCGCTCCACTTGCTGGCGCCATGATGCATCCTCACCCCCGGTACCTCGTGAGAGTGGCCGTGGCAGCCACCTCCCCCGTGCGAGTGGCCGTGGTGGCCGTGCGAGTGAGCGTGTCCGTGAGCCCCATGGGAATGAGAGTGAGCCACAGTCAGCACCATTAATGTGCAGAGCACTGCAAGCATCAGAAGATGTACAGAGGCCATTGTACCTGGCAGAGGGACACACAAAATCATTAAGCTACTTGCAACCGAGTGAGACAAGCTACTAAAAAGTAACCACACTGTTTTTTATCATCATTTCTTTTAAATGTTTAGGACTGTGCTGAGGCAATGTGACAGTAGTCTTGCCGATTATATTATGATACTACAGTTATCATGTAAATATCTTTTGAAATGGAGTCCATACTATTTGTGCATATATTAAAATCTGATCTGATAATGCAGTCTGCAAATCGATCGATCTCTGACACACACATACAGACTTTGCAACTAACTAGGATGAAATCTATTGAATACCTACGAATCAGTCAGCTACACAGATCCGAAGCAAAAGAACATTCAAACAGGGATCTAACAAAGATCACTAAAAGGGGCTGGAAAATCTTTCACAACCCTCAAGCATTTGAGAAGTGTTTTGCCCCATTAGGAGTGCAGAAAGAGTCAGTTATAACATACAGATGCAATGGCCGCGTTTTTGGAGCGTGGATTAGGACAATATTTTTAAATACCCCAAATAAAACTTGGAGAGTATTTATGAAAACCCAAGAAATATATATATTAGTAGCAACCGTCAACGATGAATAAGCAGCTAGATAGTCAGTTAACGACTACGTATCAGTATGTGTTTAAATAGACAGTTATAGGGCTAAATAGCTGGGATGCATAATATTCGGTTTAAACTAGTTAACGCATTCCTAGTAAAGCACTAGCTAAGCTTTGGGTCAGCTATTTTCATTGCATATACCGTAGTTATAACCGGGTAAACTGAGATAGCTAGCTCGCAAGCACTCAAACATGTTGCACTTTAGCAAGCATGAGTGAACGGTTTGCACGCTTTGCCGACCAGTTAAATACTGACTTACCAGCCAATGAGTCAGAAGCCCGTGATAGAAACAGTCAACAATAATACACGAACCCTTTTCTACTTTAGTACACCCTACGCTACCACTTCATTATATCAATTCTTTCTCAGACGTGGCATCTGGTCAACTCAATGCAGTCTCGCGTGATTTCCGAAGGCGAGCCGCTTGTTCTGCAGACCGGCCGCTAAACCATCGCGAGATCTTCCCGGGCTGTGGCGCTGACTGTCCTGAAACTGAATAAGAAGCCGGATGCTAGGCGTGCAAATTAAACGGAAACACAAATCTTCGACCGACTAACCAGACAGAACTATGTGTATGCGGGCATCTATAGGCATGTTCGAATCGCTAATAAAGTCACTGTAGTTTGCATAAATTTTGGTAACGCTAATGTAATACAAGTAGTATATATTAGAGGATAAACACGTTTTTAAAATAGGAATAAAATACACACAGCAAAACAATGCTCATAAAACTACAAGTTTTATACTTGTTTATTTTGTTGCACATCTCTGCATATCACTTGGGTATTTCCAATGATTTACTGTGTAATGTTTTTCAGTTTTAAAGTTAAATGTGTCTGAAAACACGAAGACGAATTAATGCAGATTTACATATGGTGGTAGAGCTGTCATTGTAGATTACATTAATAATTGAGTAATTTGCAGAATAATTTGACGATTAATCGGGCAATTGTTTATATGCCCCATGTTATGCACATGCAATTGTCACATCCGAAGAACCGATATATATAATCAGCAGGGTTAAGACAAGTTAAGCGACAACATTTTTATTCTGTCATGGAAAACGAAACTTTCTAATTTTAAGATTATTTAGTACATGTTAAAAATCTTGTGGGGTTTAGCGCTGCTGCTTTTTCTTGAGTACTGCATGCGCTCTCTGACTCATTTTCGTCCTTGGTACCTGTTGCACTCACTCAGTGGCGTGCTTGTGAGAAATTTTACCAAATAAATGAAGAGGCGAAAATTTGGATTCCACTGAGACCACTGCGTATTTTGGATTCCACTGAGACCATTTTGATCATAAGTAAGTAATCAGAAGCCACCAACTTACAGACTATTATTGGCAGATAAAAGCCTAAGTTCTATTTGTCTGAAACTTCCAACTCCATTTAAAAAAAATATCGCAATATTTATCAAACAAAAAATAAAATAAAATCAAATATGGCAAAGTGAAGTGTTTCCAATATCATTCATCACTACTCAATACATAAAATATACACTCACCTAAAGGATTTTTAGGAACACCTGTTCAATTTCTCATTAATGCAATTATCTAATCAACCAATCACATGGCAGTTGCTTCAATGCATTTAGGGGTGTGGTCCTGGTCAAGACAAAAGACTCCAAACTGAATGTCAGAATGTGAAAGAAAGGTGATTTAAGCAATTTTGAGCGTGGCATGGTTGCTGGTGCCAGACGGGCCGGTCTGAGTATTTC